GCCCAGTATTGACTTCAACGTACGGCATCACGTGTCATCTATTACGAGACAGAACATAGTACATTCCTTTGGAAGAGTGTTCCATACATGCGAGTCAGTCATCAATATGCAGTAAATGATATCAAGAAAAGCATGCTTATCTCCGATCTCTTTAATGAGAAAATATACTATCTTCCACAAACATGTTACGCATTTGCATAGAATTTGCGTAGAAACGAAATAAGTTTCGGAGAGAAACAAGTTTATGTGGCGATATTCTCGTCGCGTCTCGTCAGATCGTGACATGAATTTGAATATTGATTTCAAGATCAATGTTTTGATCACAAGGTCTGGAAAATGTCTCGTAAAAATACAACAATTTTGTTTCTTTGTGGTTTGCATGATATTAGTTATAAGTGAACACTAATATTTTCTTCGATGGAATAAATGGTTTTCATACCGATTACATCCTGATACAGATACTGGTCAGATATTTATTGCATGTTTTCGAAAGTGGAACGCTCTGAAAGGATGTTGCTGCTGTCTAGAACTGATGAAATACTGGCTGATAGTCCAACACGATATCTGCGCATGCGCACATACATGCGCAGTATCGGACTTGGCATACCAGTGAAACGGACTCTGTGTAGGGCTTCCTGCTTATTTTCGTATTTACGGAATATTCTGCTTCATCTGAACTAACATGTGTCGTCTTAATGCTTTATCTGTTTGCAAAATGTAATTGAAATGTTAGTTTATCATCACAGCGATCACTGTTGATCTCGAAATACATTTGTATGTTATTCTACATGACAAATGAATTAATGACACTGTATTGTGTACATGCAAACACGGATGAGAACTCAAGGTCTATTTCTCGATCGTTTGTACAATGTTTCCACTCTGTTTAATAGTATCTATTTACCAATTAACAAGCGCAGCACTGTGGGCTAGAACGGAATTTGTTTAACCATTGCCATTCAGATCATATTGGAGAGCTTCATTGGGGACTCCAGGCTATAAATAAGAGATTGTTTTAGGATATACTCCTTTTTTGAATGGAGTCGTACCCCCCGGCAGAATTCTCAGAATGACAAATCCCGAAGGTCGGAGCTCCATTAGTGAAACATCTATCAAACGTGTGAGGCTCCCTCGAGGTGATATCTCTAAATTTAGAATGGTTTTAGGGAAATAGCATTCTCGAGTCCTCCTTCGACAGGTCCGAGCGTTCATTGATTCTTCCCACTCGGGGCGGGTTTAAGAGTTTTATGAGTAAATAATTCACTTTGACACGCTTTCTCCGAATTGCCTTTGAACCCCAGCGGCATAAAATAGAGGTTAAATATCAAACAGGCCTTTTTAAGCATCCGTACATTATCATTTAATGGTTTTGCAATTGAATTCCGACTATAGTAAGATCTGCAATAATACAATGATATTTTCCTTTAATTCGCTATTTGAGTCTAAACATTATCAAACTGCGTTTTATTTCCCTTAAATTTTATAATTGTTATTCAACCTTTATCGATTCTACTTGAGAAGACATTTGATGGGAACCTTAAAGTGATTCTTTAACAATGTCATCTCAACCTCGTCTTGTGTCTGGATAGAAGTACCTTTGACAGCAGTTTGAACTACTTCATTGGAAAGTTAAGGGTTTGCATGTTTCCTGTGTCACCCCTGACAATTTGATTGATTGTATTGACTAGGTCATTGGTTGTCTGATAATGGTCATTTTATCTGGAGGAGGGATCGAAAATGCCATTAAGTTAGATTGGTTAAAACCATCTCTTGTAAAATTTTAAACCATCTCTAGTTACATCGTGAATCTTTTATAGGTAAAAAATCAAATTATCTCCAGCTAGACGGACAATCAATCTCTAGTGAAATCCATCTTGAGTTACACAGCACAACCATCTTAAGTTAAGTAGAGAAACCATCATTAGTAATATGGTGAAACCATCTTTTGTCAAACAGTGAAACCATCTGCAGTGAACACCTCCATCTATAGTAGAGATTGTGAAATCATCTTGACTTACACAGTAAACCATCTTCACTTAAACAGAGAATATAGTTCTATATGAATAATATACTTCACTGTGACATTGAAAGATGAACTCTAATTCTGCTCCTAACTATTTCAGTTATGGTTCGGGTGAAGAAATTTATTTGGGTAATGGCGACAGATGTTATTAATGTGATTAAAAATTTAAGCGCAGGAAAGAGACACATTTTACCCAACGATTATGCTGAATACATACAGTCTCTTGGTGCTTTGTTGTAAGTAGAGTAATAATACTATCGGTGTGCCGATCCCGAAACGAGCAGATCAAGCTATAGTATGCATAGTTACCGTCACACGAAACTACTGTCCAAAAACAAATACTGTCAAACACGATAGCCACTGTCAAACAAAACACACAGTGTCAAACACGATAGCTACTGTCAAACAAAACAACTACTGTCAAACAAAACAAACACGATAGCGACTGTTAAACAAATTAACTGTTGTCAAACAAAACAACTGCTATCAAACACGACAGCTACTGTCAAACAAAACAGCCACTTCAAACAAATCAACTATTGTCAAACAAAACAACAAGTGTCAAACGAAACAACCTCTGTCAAACAAGACAGCCACCATCAAACAACTAAATGCACCAAATTTCCCAACAAACGGTCATTCTTCTTACAATACACAAATAAATATATCCAAAATTACTACATCTCCTAATAATCTAAAGTAACATACACTACCTGGCAAAAGAAAGTATACACTTGAAAATGGTTTGACCAAACAACTGCAAACGGTAAAACGTTACTGGGCTGAAAACAGTCCCCATAACACTACAAACGTAAGGTCCAAATCTAGTCTACCTGTATTAAATACATCACAATCGAATAATCAGGTTTGGTTTTACTTCTAGCAATCACACATAGGTGTATACTTTCTTTTGTCCGGCACGTTTTGTTTTCAATAATAACACGATAACATTTCTGGTTAACATAGGCAGACAGACATCACCAACTGAACTGCTATTATCAATAATCATTTGTATGTCGTGACAAAAGTGACGGGGACTTCGTGACTGGTTATCATACATCAAGTTTTACTTTCGTTGAGGCCAATTCGTCACGAAGATCTATGTTATCACTTTCTGCAATAAAAGAATCGCATTCACGAAATATTAATTCGACTTCACCAACAAACATTTCTGATTCAAATGAAAAGTTGATAAGGAACCAGTCCAGTGACCCTCGTTAATACGACAGATGACTGTTTCGAGTGAAGTCATCAGAATACACGAATGGCCGGATATCATTATTGTTCCCTTGTCTATATATACTCATTTATAAAAGTTAAGGACCACCCCAATATTCAATGTAAGTATTATATTGATCATAATATGAACGTTGAGATACTAAAATATTGATAATTGGGGTGGTCCTTGACATTTTTGTTGAGTATATGTAGAACAGACATCATCCCGAGGCTTTCAAAATTAATGACTTAATGATATCCGATGCAATTTCCTGTTTTGACTTGTACCTCTTTGACTTGTGGGCAGTTGACTTGCCTTCGCATGTGTTTGTGACAGGTGCTACCGATGAAGCAGGATGCGCTACCTTTTCGCGAAGGTTTAAGTAACGATAGCGAATAAGGAAGACTAGAATGGTGTGGTTGGAATCGTACAGTCGTCTGCCTTAGCAGGGTTTTCTGATGCTTATAGAAAGCAGTTAGTCGTTTAACCGTGCCCTGAGGAACGGTCTGATTAACGGTGTCCTGAATAGCGAGTTTTTTTCTGAAGTACAGGAATTACAAAGGATAGAAACGAGTTTCAACACTGACTTCGAATGTTTCAATAATAACGACACATTGACGACACACACGTCATTCTGCGCATGTCCCTGCTTGTTGCTACGACTATTGTTTTGGCTGAGGGTTGGAGGGATTGAGTTTTAATATTTTGATTTTTCTAACAAAATATATATATATATATCTATTTATATAAGTGTTAAGTTAATGTAAGCCAAGCACTATTGATAAATCGCGCTCACTCTCTCAACATTCACACATACTTTGGTTTCCAGAACTAACAGGCAAATATTCCACAATATTTCCAAGACAATCAGGTTCGAAAAGACGCTAATATATACTCATGCCAATAATGGTTGTCACCCCCGCCCCTCAACCCCCACACCTCACCCCCCATCCCTTCTCCAATAGAAGGGGGTGACAACCATTATTGGCATGAGTATATATAGATCTATGCACAAAACTATGGCGTCAATATGACACATTCGTTTCCATAACTTTATCAGGATGAGCGGTATTTACGTGATTTTGTAAGAATCGTTCGGTATGTTCAATGTCCGTTCTGATAAGTTTCGGTCTATCGAGGTTCCGTAATATTTGGATTGAAAGGGGACAATACACAAACCAGTTTTCTTAACAATGATATGAAGAATATTTCTTGTGTCCTCCGCCGTGATATTGCTGGAACATTGTTAACAACGGCTAAAACCACACTCACCCTCAAACAATTATATGCATCCATATATACTAATGCCAATAATGGTTGTCACCCCTCCCCACCCCAACCCCCCACACACCTCGACCCCCACTCCCTCTCCAATTAAAAAAATTGAAGGGGTGACAACCTTAATTGGCATGAGTATATTAAGACGTTGACTAAAGCCCTTCTCAAAATAATAATGAATGTGCAATAAAACATGATGCCGTGCCTTACAAGAGCTGTGGCCGTTTCTGCACACACTAGTAACACACTGAAGGTAAGGCCTTTTGCTTTAACCTCGTATGTATTTCGGGGCACGTGTCAACAGTTCAAAAGTCATTTTCTGACAGGATATCAAAATGTTTGGAAACATGAGTGAACAAATACTGATCGATAGCTTTCAGATGAATATTTAACATATAAGAATTGATACCGCCACTAGTTTGCTGTTACGAATATTTCCAAATCAACCAAACATGAAATATAAAACACTGTTTCATTTTCGTAAATTAACCTTTGACGGAGGGCATATTAAAACTGTGTAAAACAGCCATGTTAATAATTAAGTGAACGTCACATACAAGTAATATGCGATAGTCTGTGCTATAAATATATGATATCCTTCATCTCGCGGTTTACGTTGCATATAAAACAGGAAGGAAACATCGCCAGCGATATCACTTGGTCGGATCAATGGTTATTATTAAATGGATGAATTAAAAATGCCTCGGAAAATATGAAATATTTAAAGAACGATTAGCCACGGTATTTCCTTTACATCTTTCGACACTTGGCATTGCTCCATTGACTGGAATAATTTTACCAAAGTTGATGATATTTAGCAATGTATTCTAATTTTCGAACTCAGTTCTATTCCTGTCAATGACGCCCTCATTTGGAAGTTTTTACAGATGACATGTTATGCATATTCTTGCAGTCAAACAAACTGTTGACCTGTGACCTTGACATTAGGTCAAAGATCCTATGTGACCTTGACTTTGCGATGCAATTGTTCTGGTAGTCAAACTTCCTCTTCATCTTCTTCGTTGGTCACGCCTGCCACGATCGGAATGTGTCGGAGATGCGAGATTGGCACGTTCGGTTATATCCGATTGTTGTCACCACTGTACCAATCGGCGCTGTACTGGCCGATTTTCACATCTTGGTGAGGATACACGGCCATGGGAGACCCGGTGAAGATTTGTCCAGCCATTTGTGGGTTTAAGTTCAGGATTGTAATCCTTGATCTGACTTTCAATCATCGATCGCGCATATTCCTGCTGCCATATTCCTTTCCAAAGCATAGACTCTGCGATTGATATTCATTCACTACAACATGCAAATTCTTCGCTGAATAACGAGTCCACTAGTTTGAATAGGAGTACTAGATCTTCCCAAGGCTACCCGGCTCGGAGGTCTTAAATCTACGTTGGGGCACTGGGCCCTAGTCTGTGTAATACTTCACGATATCGTATGCCCATATTAGGGTGGCCGGATATACTTCTACTTCTGGAAGTGTCGAATGCTGGGAGATTTCGGTAGATATCGACCGGAAATCGGTGCTGCCACCTGCATCGGAGGAAGCGCCGCCTGCCGGAGTTTAAGGATGCGCGAACGGCAGATGACGCACCTAAGTGGCAGACTTCTTTGCGAGACGGCCACTTGTATTGTCTTAATGAAGCACTTCCGGCATACCACTTTGTGTCCGCATGGGTAGGTTTGCATTGTTGCCTTGGCACCGAGGCATATCACACACTGAAATATAAAAGAAATGGAAATGAGTTTAACACGATAATTGCATATACCGTATAGTTCGTTTTTAACTCAGCAGTATTGCAGCTACATGACAAGGTCCTCTAAATCATCGGACATAGAGCAGACAAACCAGTGACTGATATCATGAGCACCAATCCGCACCGAAGTGGTCCGATGACACACGGTCCACCATATATCATCGAGATTGGACACCCGATTCATGAAATCGTCTTTAAACATAATTCAACATAAATTAACATCCACCCACTCTCAAATATAAACTCGTTCTAATTTTGTCAACCAGAGGCATGAGTCAAGCCTTGTATCTCATTACATTATCCGTAAACAATTCGTACACCTCTTCCTACGTCATCAGTATACAATTAGTACAACTCACCTTATATCACAAGTATAATTCTTTTTATTATGTGTTCCTATGTTTACAAAGGTATACAGTAACAACAAACACAGAAACGGTGAAGATACATTGCTATAAAGATGTAATTATAATTAGTTGCTGAATATTGGGATGTGTGAATTCCATTTAAGATTGAATTTTTCAATTTCATTGTTTCTCTTTGAAATGATTATTCTGCAGAAAATATAAAATGAATACAACTATATTTATATCCCCAGTATGGAATTAGTTTAACTATTCTAATATAATCAGTATATAATTTGTACAACTCTCCTTATAGACCAAAAAATCTACGTCAATACAACTCTTAATGTCTTCAGGATACAATTAGTACAACTCTCTCTCTATGATCAATATCCAATTTGTACAACGCTCCTTATATCACCAGTATAAAAACTGTAAAGTCTCCTTATATCATCTGCATACAATCCGCCCATGCCATCACTATACAATTAGGGGGGCGGTGGGGTAGCCAAGTGGTTAAAGCGTTGCTGGTCACGCCGAAGATCCGGGTTCGATTCCTCACATGGTTACAATGTGTGAAGCCCATTTCTTTGTCCCCCGCCGTGATATTGCTGGAATATTGCTAAAAACGGCGTAACACTAAACTCACGATGCATTTAGTACAGCCCTTTTCATCAGTATACGGTTAGTACAACTCTCCCGAAATCATCAATATACAGTTGCTACAACTCTTCCTAAATCTATACAATTAGTACAATAGAAGAACCAGATATCATCCATATGCCTAACTCAGGAAAAAGCCGACCTAATGACATAATGTGTGAGACAAGCACGTTAGATCCACCAGCCAACTGCCAGAGGTCATTGGTAATAGCCACACAGCGTGTGTTGGGTTCAATAGTAAAATGTCAGTCGGTAGCCAGGTCCTCTGGGACCTGAGCGTTTCATGTACTCACAAGCTCGAGTAGCTTTCCTGGATTTATTCCTGTAATATTGAGGCTCAGAATTAAGCCTAAACACACAGAGATCCTCCATAAGCTATATTGGGCCGAATCCGTGGACTTGTGCTACTTAACATTGACGAGATGTCCTCAACCGAGGGAGTTGGTCTGTGGATATACGTATTCTCTATTAAAATGGATGCCACGTTTCAGGGGTTGTGTCTATACCAAATCATCTTAATTTTTGCGGTCTCCCTCAAAATGTCGCATTAATAAAAAAATAATTATGAATTTGTATGCCGATAAAACTGTCTCTTCTTCATCATACCGTTCTAGATGTCACATAAGAAGTTGAGTATAACTTCATGCGAAAACGTGATGATTCATGCTCTATTGACATGCCAAATCCCGTCCTGTATCAATAATAAAAGGGGCGGTGGGGTAGCCTAATGGTTAAAGCGTTGGCTCGTCACGCCGAAGACCCGTGTTCGAATCCCCACATGGGTACAATGTGTGAAGCCCATTTCTGGTGTCCCCTGCCGTGATGTTGCTGGAATATTGCTAAAAGCGGCGTAAAACCAAACTCAGTCAGTCAGTCAGTCAATAATAAAAGCTGCAAAACACATTTCATAATCACACGAAATCACAAAAAATTGTACCATTCTAACATGATCAAAAACGTGTTATGAAACAACGTTCATGAAACAACTAGCCTGAGTGAATTGTCCTTTGATATACAGTCAGTTTCAGTTTCTCTATTTCCGACACAGGCACCAAACAATACTTTTAAAGAGAAGCGAAAAAACACCTCTTTCCATGTCTGCTATAAATAGCGTCGATTGCACACGTTGGAACCCATCAGAAACGCACGCAAAGCCAAGTCAATTGTTCATAAAAATGCACGAGGACATATGGTAGAAGTGTGAAATAGGGAATTGCATCAGGACGTTTGTTACTGATACGTCGGCTTGGAAATGCCCACCACATGTCTGCCAATATTTTAAAAGGCTTACTGACGTTTTGAAGCTACGAGTCGGCGGCCTTTACCATCGGAATTCGAGACAAACAAGTGACCGATGTTATGAACAGCGTCGTATTTCGTACAGCTTGTTCAGCTTGACCTGGTCAAGTCAATACTAATGCATTGCGTGACCGTGTCACAACTGGTTGGGTCTATTCTTGGGTAGGAGGGGCGGTGGGGTAGTCTAGTGGTTAAAGCGTTGGCTCGTCACGCCGAAGACCCGGGTTCGAATCCCCACATGGGTACAATGTGTGAAGCCTATTTCTGGTGTCCCCCGCCGTGATGTTGCTGGAATATTGCTAAAAGCGGCGTAAAACCATACTCAGTCAGTCAGTCAGTCTTGGGAAGGAGTGCACCTTTGTCAGTTGGTTGTCAACATGTCCGAACAGAACAGAAAAAGTGATAATTAAACTTGGTGTATGGACTGACAGCAAGAGTGAACCGGATTGTGAAAGTAACTGACATCTGTACGTTTTAAAGTTAGTAAACTAAACCAGATAGCATATGACTGTATAAACAATAATATTAAAACATGAAATGATTGTTTTTTCAGAAGTGTTGTTTTCCGGGACAAGATCAGTAACGAATCCATGTGTGCATGTTTCGCACGAACGCAACATTATAACATTCTTTGCTCCCCTATTTAATGAAGTTAACTCGACCTGCCGTTTGTGCCATTTAACCTCCCGGGTCATGCATATGTAGAGTAGCTCAGGTCAAGCTGAACAAGCTGTGCTTAGACACACAATCACCCAAGGCGTCCACTTCAACCGACATCGTCAAAGCTAAGTGTTCATGTAGTTTCATCAGCAGAATAAAACAATTACAGTAAACTATGGTTATAATAAGTGAATTTAATTTTACACCGCACTGGACAGACAATCAAGTGATCAACAGCATGAGCATCGATCAGTTCTAACCCGGATCTTCACGGGTCGGTTATAACGAACTCAAAGGACCACGTGTTTTAGTTCGTTATAACCGTAGTTCGTTTTATGCATTTCGACAAAATATACAAGTGCCCGGAATTTCAAAAACAGTTAGTAAAACCAATACTTCGTAAAATGGCGTGTTTGTCATGAACGAAGTTTACTGAATTGCTAGTACTTCCAAACCACTGCAAACTGTATGACAGAACTACCTCATAAATTGTGCAATTTATTATGCATGTACCAGTTTATTTTTTCACCTACGCGATCCAAATGTAGGACCAACGCTTATCTGTAGGCGTTTCTTGAAATACCATGCGACTTATTTAAGAAGATACCAGTTTCTATTTGAAGAGGCTATCACATACTAAACCATGCGAGTGAGACATTTAGACGACAGCAGCATCCATTCCCAGTTCTTTGTTCTCCCCCAACAGGACCTCTCGCATGTTATACGTAAGTAGTACGTCATGGCGAAAATGGTAAATCAACCTATATATAAACGGAAGCTGTCAAGGAAGTACTATTTGGGGAACATGATAAAAACGAATTATCAATACATTTCTCATAAAACAAATATGATTTATGCCTCGCAGTCCTTTGTTATCTGAATCTCTTTCCAACAGTTATCTGTGTACATGTATATATTCAAAGTCAGGCTTTAGCGTGGGAGTACAAATAGGTTGTTGTGGGTTTTCGGAGTCAGTAATAACAGGGCATCACATTTTACCACAAGAGAAAATGTGGTTATGCTGGCTCGAGTACTCCCGTCCAGATGACCCTTGCTGCTGTCCCAGTAAGGGTAGTGAGTGAGTTCACACTTTGAGTCTACGTGGGGAATCGAACCCGGGTCTTCCGCGTGACGAGCGAACTCTTTAACCACAAGGCTACCCCACCGTCCCTGTCCCTGTAGGAGATTATGAAACATCGCATTCAAGAAAATGTATATTTCGTTCCTGCAGCTACTTTTACATGGGACCGCCTCCGTGGTGTAGTGGTTAGAGCGTCCGCCCGGAGAGCGGAAGGTCGCGGGTTCGATCCCCGACCGCGTCATACCAAAAGACGTTAAAATATGGTACTTGTTGATCCCTGCCTGGCGCTCGGCATTAATGGGTACAACAAGGACTGGACGGCTCGGAGTCAGTATAATGCGTCTGAGTGGGGTATTCGTGCTTCACTGCGGGATGGTATCTCAGTGGGCTAGCACTATAAAACCAGCTTCAGTCTGGGCTTGTACAAGCAGCCGCACACACACACGCATGCACGTCGTCATATGAGCAAAATATTCTCAAGCACGACGTTAAACCCAATTTCACCTCACCTCACCTCACCTCACCTCACCTCACTTTTACATGGAATCATTCCGTGCTTAAGCGAGTTAAAATGCAAACTAACTTATAACGACACTTGTTTGAGTGGCATTTAGAAGTTGGTGTGATGAACAAAGAGGAGAGTTCTATGGATATACAACTTCTTTAATATAATATAAGCGACGTTTCGGTGTAGCTACTAATTTTGCTACTAATTTTGCTTGATAACGGTGTTAGTAGCTACACCGAAACGTTGCTCAATAAAGAAGTTGTGTATCCATAAGAACTCTCCTCGTTGTTGTAACGACACCTTTTGTAAACTCATGTTTTCTCACTTGGTTTGGATGGAGGAATTTTATTATATTATATACTTGTAATTATATATCTTTGGTAGGTTTGATTGCTATTGAAATAGTC